ATGACTTCTACCTTGTTATACCTAGACTGGTAACATTTTTAACTCTACTTATGGCAATTCCAAGATTCAAGTTTTAGCATTGTCTTTGTCGGTTGTGCTACATTTACATCACAACTTACAGATTTGTTTTTCAACACTTGAAATAGCGAGATTTGATTGAGTCAAAATCTGATCAACCAAATAAGAAAAATATTTCCCACTTTCTTTTTGACACCTCATCAATCTATGAAAAATTACTCAGAAGGCGATGTACAACAAGCATTTCTATTAGTGATGTTTTCCTATTCTCTCCTGCCTGCTGGTATTATGAAATGTTAAGAAGTGAATTATAGTTTGACATACCTATATTTACTTTTTTGAAGCTGCACTCATTTTTCTCTTATTGAAGGGTGGTCCAGGTCAACCACAAAATCTGGGAAGCAATTTTTCCACATGGATGCTTCTTGAAAGAGTCAGGTTTACGCTAGATGGTTTGGAATGTAACAAAATTGGTGTTGGTTATGATGCTTTCAATGGACAGCCAAACTTCTGCTCTGCACCATTTTGGAGTTGCTTGCATAATCAGTTGTGGAACTTTTGGGATGTCAGTAAATCAAACTAAGCCTATATGGTCCAGTTCCTTAACAATGTCAATTTTTTTGGTTTATAACTGAGCCTTTTTTTTTTTGGTTCTGAATAATTTCTTTTTGTTCTTGTCTCCGAGTTTCTTCGATGGTGAAGGTAACACTATTAGATGAGAACTTTTTTACTGTTGATAATAGATATCTTCATAGTGTGCCACCACTGTTCTGAACTGAGAGGATTTGTATTCTGTCATCTCAGGCTGACCAGAACAGAATTAGCAGGAATCAAATTCCACTATATTGTGTGCAGGGAAGGTTTGACAGGATAAATCAACATCCAGTTACGTTTTAGGGATCTTAAACCTAAACAATCAAGAATGCTACACTTAAATGTCTGACCAGTGGCTCGTTTCTGCAGGAAGCCGGGAGTCGTGCATTTTCCATAGGAATTACAGAAGTCCTTAACACAAACCTTTTGGTGGAATTGAGTGCTGATGATATAGAATTTGTATATCAAAGGTTAGCCTTTCTTAAAAAAATCAAGCTTATTTTTATTATTCTTTCTGTTGTTTTCTCACAACTTTTACCCTTTTTTTCTTTTTTTCTCCAGTCTATTACTTTATTTTTCATATAGGAAGAACAACTTATGCTTGTCCTCCCCCTAACTAGAGACCATTTTTCCCCTTCTGATTCTGCTGAAAATATTGTGAAATGATAGTGCAATAATGGGATTCTAAATTGTTGCACTTTTGTAATTTTTTTCCTTCCCTGCATATGATGTTTGCTTTAGTTTCATCACATGTAATGTTGTTAACTAGTTAGTAAACATATACATGAAATATTAAGATTGAATAGCTCTACAATTTCCACTTTTGCAGGAGCCCAGGAAAAATTTTGGGCATTACTATCCCAACTTTTGAAGCTCTTACCCAATTTGGGATTGCAACAATTACAACAAAAAATATTGGTGAACTAGAAGCATCATATAGCCTTACGGTAAAGCATAGTGTTTAACATTTGTAGGTTTCTAATTTAATCAATCGTGGAATTTAACTCTTATATCTGCCTCTTGATGTGTAATTTCTAATTAAGCAATTTTAAGTTGTGATATGTTTAGATATACTGTTATTTTTTATTAACTTTCCATGTGAGCCAAATTGACAGCATTGTTGTGTTTCCCCCAGCTTGAATTACACATTATTCATATTTTTATTAATTCAGAATATTAAATCATTCAAATAAGTACATAGGCTTCGTAAGAAGCTGCCACGAGATGGACTAATGTCCAGCCTTTCAACCTCACAATTGCATTCACATAAATTGTTTCTTCTTTTTGTATTGGGCAATATAGCTATTTCCTTTAAAGATGACTGATAGGACTTGCTGCTGTTGCAGTTAACCCAATTATAAATTGTGGGTTTAAAGATTTTGAGATATTTTTTTTCTAGTGTAGGAACATTTTATATAGTATTACAGTTGTAGTCCTTTGTAGAACTTCTGCAAGGCCATAATAGATAGGTTTGGTCATTTTTGTTCTCTTGTTGATTGCAGAAAGGCTACAGAAGAGCATGAGAAATAATGTCGGCATTCATAGACCAAAATATAGTTGTGATTACGTTTTTGGTGTATATATGTATGTGCACGTAATACTGAAGTTTTGAGGTCAAAATAGAAATTTAAATGATTAAGTGCATTATTTAGCGTGTGATCAAAAATTTTATCTTGCAGTTTGATTGCTCATCTGGTGTCAGCCAAATGGAGGTAACTACATAGTGTTAGATTTCTTCTGTATGCTTACAACTATACTTTTGATTGAACATCGCATCGCGATTGATAGTATTTCTCATTATGTATTGTATTGCAGGAACAATTCTATATAATGAAGCCAACAGAAGTGATAACCCGATCATTCAAATTGTACCCAACAACAGATCAAGCTGCAAAATACGTGTGTGCAGGTACAGTTAAATATTAATTTTTGGTATGAGAGATGATTCGTAAAATGAGATTTAGCATGCATGAGGTCCTGTATGAATTTGATAATATGTGCCATTTTCAAGAAGATGTCTTGTGCTCATTTTTCCACTCCCTATGGCATGTAGAGATACGAACTGTAATTGAATGGTGAATCTGATTTGTATCATTATACTTGTTTGCAGCCATATTAAAGGATTCTGATTTTAGTGAAGTTGATAGAGCAGAATGTCAATTTACAACTACAACTACAGTTCTTGACAATGGATCACAGGTTTGCCCACAGCTAGTAACTTATCTCTCTCTTGGATGAGTAATGGGCAACTCTAGCTTCAAATCGAAGGGGACCTACATAAATACTTCACGTCTGGGAATTCATATAACAATAACAATACATTCTTCCAGAGGTTGCTAAAGTTTTAAGGGGACCTTTAACTGTTTATATGAGCAGCCTCAGCATAAATCCAGCGAAGTCCTGTAAAAACTTTTCCAAGGAAGACTTGTTGGAAATTATAGAGTAAACGTATTTAAGATAGAAATAGGAAGTCCATCATATTAATGATGAAGATTGAATTTTATCTGCTATATAATCTTGTAAGTTAGTAGTATATATAGTTTTTGACTGAATCACATCAATCTTTGCCTTTAATCAGATTCCATTTCAACCTCCAAAGACAAGTATGAATGGCTTCTTTGAATCCGTAGAGGAGTTTTGGAACAGGTTTTGGTCTGGTATGGTAGATTTCATTACAGGAAAAAGTTGCAGGTATTATCTTTTCTTTTAAGATGTGATGATATGTTATTAAATGTTAGAACATGTCTTCACTCGGATGTTCTCCTTCTACATACAAATCATTTTGCTTTCTCCTGCTGTTAATTATTTTGTGTTATGGACATTGAACGGCATTATAGTGTCACTTTTTGTTTTCTTGTCCGTTATTAATATATTGATGCTATTATTTTGCTTATTGATTTGCTTTGTCCTCTCTATTTAGACTTTATACACATATCCATTTTAATATCTAATTTCCAATATTTTCGGGACTACAGAGTTCCATGTAATTTACTGACTTATTAGAATTACATACCATTTTCTGTAACAAGCTAAAAATAGGTTTACACATTATTTGTGTGACTATTTATACATACCTTCAAACACATAAAACAGAAGGAAATATGTTTCTAATGATGTTTCCGTGTTCTTGTACGAAGCAGGGGGAAATGCCCTGGGTTTTTTGACTTCAGTTGCCATATACAGTACATCTGCATGAGTTGGATATTAATGTTTGGGATATTTTTAGCAATTTTTCCAGCAGGTTTGATGCTTAGTCACTTTTAAATTAATGATAAAAGAGTTGGATCCGGACTTGGAGAGAATATGATTGATGTCTTGTGTTCTGAGTTGCAGCTGTTGTCCTGCTCTGGCTTTTACATCAGAAAGGACTATTTGATCCTCTATATGACTGGTGGGAGGATCACGTGTGGACTTCTGAGCAGAGAAATCGAGAAATATGGAAGCATGACCGAGATGCCGATCTTTTACTCTGTCAATACAAGAAAAATCATAAGCACGATGCGAGGCATCATAAGCATGAAGCTAGAAATAGGCAAAGAAGGATTCATAGTGAGCAGGGACCCAACCATTTAATAGGGGAAAGCAGTTACCATCACTATCTTCACCATGTGCATAAGGACAAGCTTAAGCATGGAAAAATCAAGAGTTCAGGCACCGTAAGAGACATTCACTTGAGTAGAAGGGGTGACGATGACATTAGATATCATAGAAAAAGAAAAGAAAGAAAAAGCCATGGCTGGGATTACTGAAAGTACCATACAGAGTGATGAGAACCAAGATGACTATTTTAAGCATAAAAATGTCGTTTCAGATGGTGTTATTGAGTCCATTCTATTAGGAGAGAATGAAATGGATGGATGGTAGAAATTGACTTTGTAGTTTGTAAAATCTCTCTCGCTGAATGATGACATCTTCTGAATTTTTATTTCTTTCATCGCAATGCCAGAGAATAAAACATTGATGTGAAACATGGGGATGGGGATCATTAGTCATAACACGTGTAATAGCAAAATCACATGTACTTAAGTGATATCGTATCATATATTTTGAGTCTGTATTACATATTTCAATTCAATGCTCCTTTTTTTTTTCTTTTTCCTTTTTTCCTAGACCGGTTGCTTTTTTTGTTTGGATAAAACAAGTGTATAGACATCAAAAAATTGTATACATCCGGAGCAAAAAAATTGATTGGTTTCTAAGGAGAAATAATAAACTTGCTATCTCCCATTTTCGCTTAGCATGTTTGATTGTTGAAATTATCTCTATGGTAGCTTGAAATTATCAGTCCTGCATGTGGGGATGGAAAACCCGAATTTCCTGTTTCGTGCCTTAGGCCATACACTGACTTGCCCGTGCATCATCTTGGTTAGATAGCATTATACAGACTCCTACTTTTGTGCATTTTTTCCAGAAAGAGAGATGTGAAATCCATTTGGAAACTGTAAACCAGGAGTTCGTACAATGTCTCCACCTCTGATTGCTTGCCACCTGACAGATGCAGAAAAGATTGGTTACCTCACTCTATTTATCATGCATTATGGTATACAATTAGTGCATTGTAGTGTATGCAGCACTCAATACTATAATGAACTAGATTTTAGCAGCTTCTTTCTCTTATTACTGCCAAGTTCTATCCGAACATTACTACAAAACATGCTATCACAGAATGTCTTGTTCTTACTTGTACTTGGTTACCAAGCAATGGAGAAAGACGGCCATCTGCACCTTGGTGAAATCCGTTCCTACACAAAATCTCATACCACCACCAAAAGCCATGAAGTTTCTTGAGGCACCATTTGTGTCTACTCCCTGTATGACATGAATATTTACCTGATTATGAGCTGAAATGAAATAAATATATAGGACAAGTGTCAAGAGTTCAGAGATACATGCCTCCCATCTCCATGGATTGAAATCAAGGGGATTGCTATATTTGGCAGGGTTCAAGTGCACAGCTGGAGGACAAACCATAACCGCCCAACCAGCTGGAATGGTATGTCCTGCATCCCGCAATTATATTAAGGTATGAAACAAGACCTACTATGTAGATTCTTTTCAAAATAGTTGAAATCAATTTTGAATATATACCTTTGAATTTGATATCTTTCAGTGCTTTTCTGAAAATGCCAGGAACTATGTTGGCCAGTCTGACTGTTTCGTTGATAAACTGCAATTTAATGTCTTTTAGAAATGCATACATTGAAAAAAAATTCAAAATTAAATTAAAATGTGATATTGATGGATTCACCTGAAATGTAAACTTCATTGATTTGTACTCATTCCATGTTAATCTGGAGTCTGGATTTTCCCTCTTTTTAATTATTGCCTCATGCTCTTCCTGTAAGATATTTTAAGCATGTCAGTGGGGTAACACCATGAGAATTTATATGTAAGTTACTTTCTTGAAGGTTATTTATTTTCACTTACTGTCAATTCTTTTAACACCAAAGGATGGTCCGAAAGAAATTTCATTGCTAAAGTTAGTGCCAGGGAGGTTGTCTCATGGCTGGCAAAGAGTAACACGAACATCAAATCCAGAGCTATTGACTCTGTAAGAATCGTATCCTGTCGTTGAAGTTCTTCCAGGACGTAATCAAAGAAATCACTTTGGATCTTTCTTGGCCTTTCACGTCTTTCTTGTAGCAAGCATTTGAGCATCTTCATTGCCTTCTTTCTTCCCTGATCAAAGTACAAGCACAAGTTAATTGAGTAAAGTTTCCATAAAAATCAGTAAAGTGTTTCTTGCACATTCAAGTATCATATAATAAGGGTTCTAATAACCTGTAAACATTTGTGGTAGGCTGTTCCAGGAATGTTGAGAGGGAAGGAGATTAATCCTTTTATGAAAGCTTCAAAATTTCCCCTTAGATTATCTGAGGACTTTTCTACATCGTAACTGATTAACTTCTTTGCAGTCAGATCAAATATCATCTGCAGAATCACCAAATGAAATCCATTTAATTGATAGAGAAATCAATTCAATTTAACGAGAGCTAGATGTTTGCCTTCTGTTCACCTTTGAGGTTGATTCCTTGATCTCAGCTATTGTCTGGCTTGACCATCTTTTTAAGTACATATTTGATGCTTGTTCAACATCAGGAAGCATCTTTTTCAGACTTTCCGGACCAAACAGATTCAGAACCATGTTCTTAAGGTACTTGTACATGAACCCATGCAAAGAACCTACATTCTGCCTCCCGAATATTTCCACAAAGGTACTTGGATACCAGCTTTCAAACAATTGTCCCTCTTGTTGAAATATGAAATAATTAAGATCTGCATCTGTGGATACTATAACTGGCCGTCCCACCAAACTTGTCTTGAATAGTGGCCCGTATCTGAAAAATAACACCAAAGACATCATATGATTGCTTATGTGCATTTGTTATTATATTTGAACACCTTAAGTTTTGGGTTACAATGAGATTACCTTTGCATTCTTTCCTTCACAAAAGGAGGAATATCAGATGAAGTGTTCGGAGCAAAGAAGTGGAGAGTTTCTCCAAGTAGTGGCCACCCCATTGAACCAGGTGGGAGCACTCCATTGCAGTCCGGATTCCACCACTTGTAAAGCCAATGTGTAATGTTTATAACCAAGATAGCGGCAATACAGAAAAATGCTGGCAACATCTTTATATGAAAGACAATGCAGAGAGTATTTTGAAAGAGAATTGTATGATATGAATTTCCGAGATAAATGAACTGTATAGGTCTGCCTTTCTTTGCAGAAATGGGAATTGAGGTAGAATGTGATGAATGAAGAGAGAGCGATGAGAAGAAAGTGCTGGCCTGTATCGAATATCCACGGGGAGAAGTGCTTAAATAGGCAGGCAATAATGTGCAACTAGTTAGAATAACAATATTTAATTGGCTTTATGTATTTTTAAGAAGTTGGTTGCTCAAAAAGCTGTACACACCATACTGTTGGAGAATAGAATTGTACGAATAATTTTGTCTAGTTCAGAGCTTTATCCTTTGTCAACGCCATGTTTAAAAATTTCTACAGAAGGCAAGCGTAGCATGATGGTGAAGATTCCAGGTCGCTTCCTCTCTCTCTCTCTCTCTCTCTCACCCACACACACGGGAGTTCTCTTTGAAGAGTCGTGGAATGCAAAACTAAAGGAGCATGACACGGAAATAACCCATTTTTTTTAAGGAGATTCGCTGAAAAAGAAAAAAACTATTTTCCCAGATTTAAGAAAGTAAAGGTTCTAATTAATAATCTTTCTTGACTTGTTATGTATGAACTAATCATATGAAAACATATACCTCGAGAATCTGAAGTATATGAGGTTATTCATAAATCTTTCCTATATCTATACTAAATCTGCCACAAATACTTGTTCTTCGCTACCTTACTCTATGTATATTCTTTTCTTTTCCTTTTTATTAAGGAATTAGATCTCATCCTAGATCTTCTTTAGCTGTACACAATCTCGTATCAAATTCTGAATCTTAATTGCATACATTAAAAATGTTGTCCTCTAGATATGCTTGATCTCATCGAATTCTAAATTGTCTTCTAGATATGCTTGCAACCACTGTATCTGTTGTTGTGGTCAATTTACTTTGTTTTTAACTTTTTCCAGGATGCCATTCAACACATAGAGCACCACCCCAACAGCCTTTGAGCCACGGGCTTTAAACTCATTCAACACCTCAGGTATAGACAGGTTACTGTATTATAACATGATACATTATCAAGCCTTATTAACAGTTTTTGTATGCGTGTTTGCTTGGTTTACTACACATTTTTTCACTGTAATGTTAGAGAAGACACATTTTTAGGTGTAATAAATACATGTGCACGGGGATCTAAAACTTTGTCTGTTATTTGTTTTCTAATAACCCTCTTAACACTCGTGTGCAGACTGATTACTCTATGTTCGAAGGGGACATGGGAATATTTAAACCAGAAAGGCATATCTCGTTCCCCGTGTTAGATAAAACTGGACAGTAAAATAAACATGCAGTAAAGGTATGTAGTGTTGGATTGAACAAAATTTCGTCATATATGTGTTTGCGCGTCATCATATTCAGACTTTGTCGGTGTATCAAATATGTCGTTCATGGACTAGTTTGCCTTTAACCGCCCAATTTTTTTTTTCTTTCAGTGTTGCTTAACTGCATCTCCACCTAAGGAGGTGGAGGAACAATGACAGCTCATATAGTTTTGTGTTTGAGACCTCTTGGAATAATTAATTTGTATAGAAAATAGTATTCAAATGTGATGTGCTAAGTCAAATTTTCTGGACTAAAAGGTGCTTTTAATAGAATAAACTTTGGGTTATTTATGGTGGGTTGTGACTTGTGAGTTCCCACTTGTTGTGATGGTATGATGCATTCACCCCATGTTAGGGACCTACTTGCAAAGGATGCTAACATGAGTAGTGACAATTCTTTTGTAATTAGTAATTTATTAACATTTACTCGAAAGTACTTGGAGAATTAGTATATTGTACAAGTGGGAATAGTATTAGTAAATGACTAATTATTGTCTCCCGTGACGCTGAGTCATCCAACATTTAATAATTTATTTATTTGTAAAGCTAGTTATTTTCAACGTTTTAAAATAGTTTTGTAGTCTTCTACCTGATTCGTTGACATTGAAAATTAATTTAATAGTAGTGAAACTATTATTATGTACTTATTTTCCACCTCAAGGATTGTTAGGTTGCAAGTATTACTAGGAATACTCTATATATTGCTCTATTTGGTATAACTCTCAAATGAAAATGTCAATTGATATGTCCAAAACCCACCATGGAAATTGATTTATTTTCCATTATGTGAACTTAATGGAATGATCACACACACCCCTTGTGGCTAAAGTCTCCAAAATTCCTTAAATTTCATGCGATAAATGTTAAATTTCAAACTCGGTTTACTCGATTTTTTATTTAATTTTATATCGAATTTTAAATGAGAGTCTTACATTGTGATAAGAAAAACTTTACTTGAACAAATAAAAAGAACACGTGTCACACATATAAAATCTGAGTACATATTATGCGTTTCTCTCCATGAAATAGTAGTAATCTTGTTTGAAATTTTGCTTCAAAAATATTTTGTGAAGATGATTAAAGGAGCGAGACATATAAGATATTTGTTCATTATCATATACTATTACAGTGTACTAAATTTACCCATGCATATACATTATATAACACTATTCTATATACTTACATGTATGTCTATACCTATATATATTCGAGGTCGAGAGGATTAAGGACAGAGCAGTTCGTTTTGTCTGTGCCATCCGCATAGGGAAACTAATTATTGAATAAATTACGACATTAATCCTGGTCAATAGGCTCCATTGTTTATGCACAAATTTGTGGGGGCCTTTCCACTTATCGAAAAGCCAATTTCTACCTCAAAATTTACACAAACTATTGAAATTTGTCCTCTTCTTTTTAGAATAATACTATTTAGCCCCACTCAAGTTGTAACCCCAGTTCATGTGATGTCAGGTGATATGCTAAATAAAATGTGATTTATCATTTAATACCACGTTAGCACCACATAGACTGTGATTATAATCCTAATAGGACTAAATGACATTTTTTTTCTTTTTATTTTATTTCATTTTATTTTTTTTAGGGATTAGATTTTATTTTTTTAGTGAATTATGGCTTTTATATGAGATAAAATTATTATAAATGGTGGGTATATAGGGCACAATTGTTTGCAGTATGTTCCATTGACTATATACTGTTCACATTTGTAACTCATTTTAAAATGTTATCCATATTGTTCACAAATATTTATTTTTGATTAGAGATAGGTTACACGTACAAGGACTTTTTTCACAGGCTCTTGCCAGGCCATGCACATACATGGGGCTTGCATGCAATTTTTTTTATTACACGTGGGGCCCTCAGCTATAGTGAGGGCCCTGTAAGTTCCCTGTGAAGAATACTCATGCACTTGGGGCTGCACTTGGGGCTTTATTCTTTTGATTAATAGGTCTAGAGAAGAAAACAATGACATGTGCATGACCACACACACAAACACTTTATTACCTTATTATTATTATTATTTTTTTGATCAATAATTGTGCTTAAACGGTGAGAAACAACACGTACGATAGAAACTTGAAACGTCGTTTTCAACACATTCCTCAAAGTAAATAGAGTTCATTTTCTTTCGTTAAAACCTAGTAAGTGATTTCATTAAATGGATAGCATTGAAACTTAAACTTGGAATTTTATCTGTTTCGATATTATGTTCAATCACTAGATCTTAAAACTTGAACTTTAAAATAAAATTATTTTTATCATTTAGCCTCTGTTTGTTCACCATTTTTCCTTGATTTTTAGACAAAAAATAATTGTTAGTGGGTCCCTTTCTCCATGACAGGTTTGACTTTCTTCTCACAATAGTTATGGGGGGTGTGCCCAACGGTCCATTTCTTCGTTTTCATTTTTGACACAATTTGACTCAAACATGCTCTAAATATTATCGATGGACAAAGTTTATTAGTGACTTATTGAAAGGGATTAGGTCGCTACCAAGTTATTCAAAACGCTTTACAGCCATTTATTTGATGAATGAAGTAAAGACAGATGGGAGGTTGTTAATAATTGCATGAAAAGATAGTTTAAAAATGCATGCAAATTAATAACATACATGTATAAATGACTTGTAATGCAAGATTCAATGTCTCAATTTTGGCATATGTCCCGAATTTCTATGATTTAGAACTGTCCAATTGATACTTATGGTTGTGTTTCAAACAATAATTAGAGATTAAAAACAATACTTCGTTAGTTACAACTTAATTTATGTGACTTCTAGAAGGGGGTGTATCGAGCCTCGAGGATCCAATTTTAAAATGTTAAGTTTGTTAAGAAGAATAATCAAAATCTTTCATATATTAATTACTATTTTCATATTTTATCGACATAGGATTTTACAATTAACATGCTCTATTGTACAACGGTGACGCACTTGAGTCTAATAATATTGAGACTTTGAATCATCTCTGAAGTTCAAGTTAGACTCTTATAGCTCTTCAAAAGACTCTCTACTTTTAAAGAACGTATTTATAATTTAGAAAGTACATATAGATTTAGAGAATATAAATTTTTAGATATTTTAACAGTCTTTTATCTTTAACACTTAATTTTACTACTCCCAATATGTATTTACTATTTTGCCTATATTATATTTTCACTAAGGGTGCGTTTAATTGCAAGATTGGAAAATGGGTGGAAAGAAAATGTTTTACAGAGAAAATGATTTCAAGTGTATTTGATTGGTTGTGTGTTTGATTGGTATAATTTTCCACCTGAAAATTTTTTAAATTTTCTATTCGTTTGGCTTTGTTTTACATGGAAATTGTTCATTAAAGTGATATTTTTTTCCACAATTGGTTACAAAATTTGTTTCTATTACCAAAAAGTAAAAAAAATGAAAAAAAAAAATTTCCAAAAAAATCATTTTTTAATCAAAATTTAGTGTTCGTTTGACTTTGTTTTACATAGAAATTGTCCATTAAAATGATTTTTTTTTTNTGAAAATTGTCCATTAAAATGAAATTTTTTTTACCATTAGTTATGACATTTGTTTCCATTGCCAAAAAAAAAAAATTTTCAGCCAGCTGGAAAAATATTTTTCCACCAAAA